CAGTGGGAGTCTTAATGGTCTTGAAAAGTTTCAAGAACAAATCAAGAGTAAACCAAGTTGATCATCACTAGCATACGACTTGAGGTTTAAAGCCTATCGTGGATGACATACTCTTTTTTCTGTGTCATTCCAGTTGAGTTAATTATGCGTGTGAATTCTATGAGTACTCATTTGAATGCATAAAGACAAAGCACCTTGATCAATGGAAAGTACATTGATATGAAAGGGTGAGTTGCTTGGAAGACATGGTGGGCACTCGTGTTACCATGAGGCAAGAAATCAAGACTGAACAAGTTCAGTCCATATGGTTTTGGATTTGTCGCAAACTTTCGTTTTGACAAATTCGCATGGATAGGAACACATACATCATAAAATCTAAGTGTCATAAGGTTTTCCTCCTTCATGAAAATGATTGTGAGGAAATGCTTTCACTAAGAGAGATTTTAAGAAGATAGCAATTGTGAAAATTGTATTCTCAAATTCGATTATGATTACGACATCCCTTTTCATAGTTCGAATTGTGAGATTTGGCAATTGATCTGAACATTTGGGACTTAGTAACATAAATTCTGAATTGTTTAGACACACATGTGAGCTATCTAAGGCAAAGGTGTATGGCCTTAAAAAGCTTAGATAAAGGCTTATCAAAGCATTAAGTATTAGAAATATGAACTTAAGGAATTCAATAAGCATTGTTTTCTAGAAATTCAATTGTTTTCTGAATACATGTCAAAGCTAGTGGGAGCATAAGTGTTATGCTGGTAAGAAAATAATCATCATGTTAGTGGGAGCATGATTATTATGGTAAGTATTGCAAGTTAGCAATATTAATTATAGAAAACAAAGATTCACTTTGCAAAGTTGCAAGGGTTGAAAAGTTGTTTTGCTATAATTAAGGGAGAGAATATTATACTTCGTTTCAAAATTCTAAAGCTTAGATCGAGAAATGTTAATAAATTTAGTCAAGGATACATAGTGTATTCTCAAAAATCGATTATGATTACGGCATCCCTCTTCATAGTTCGAATTGTGGGAACATGGCACATAAAATATTATGGCAGAAGGCTGATAAAGTATCACGTCTTTATGTGAGACATTATGCATCGTGTCCAATACGCTTCAGGTATAGGATCGATTGCATATGTTGTAATATTTGACCATTCTAAAATTTTCCAAATGCTTAAGGCATTAAGAGGGAAAAAGGACTAGAATCGGTTTTGACTAAAATAATTAAACAACTATCAAAGGACGATCTGAGGTTCACTGAGGATTTGTCGCTTGTGAGTAGTTGGAAGTATAGTATTGGATGGACTATATTGACATTATTATGAATAGATAAGATTCTATTAAGAATGAGTTGTCATATGGAAAATATGGAAATGTTTCCATGAATGGGAGTTGGAAATTAAGAATCTATGTAGATTAGAAACTTTTATGCAAAAGGATGTTCAAAGGAATGTACTTTGAGTGAGAGACATCACATCTATAGAATTGTTTTGTAACAATTTGTGATAGAGAACTTAGTAATTTCATTAGCCAAGTCCTGGTAACTTTTGTGCTATGACTTTACAAAAGGGTCGTTGCATAAAATGTTAGAATCTAAAATATTCTAATAGTGGCAAGAACCTTGTATTCTTACACTAATGATAAGGATTAGGGATTGTGAAATGAGTTTCATTGGAAAAGTTTTTAATTGATCTATTTCACAAAGTATGGACCATAGGAAACCAAAGTGTGCATGCTTGGAGCATGGGACAATTGTGGTTATAATTCGAGTAATAAGTTGATTTTCTGAAACAATAAGCAATAAATAGTGAGTAATCAATATGGTGTTTAAATAAAAGTGTTTTTATTTACGCTCAAAAGTTTTGGGACCATATAGGATTAATATTGTTATTGCGTTTCATTTTGCATGTTTTGACTTCCAAGAATAACTAGGTTATTCGAACCTCCACAGTCGGTCATACGTTGGAAGTAGGTATGAAGAAAGACTGTCATGAATCTGTCTGTAGATTGTCTAAAGTGTTTAGACATAGCACAAGTTTGCTGCAGAGTTCATGAGTGCTTTGATAAGATTAAAGTATTGGATTAAACCCACGCTCACTTGAATCACTTCATGGTTTTATCACGAGTGATTGGTGAGACGATAACATTGTATATTCTTGAAACCGAGACGTGTGAGTTGTTATTTGCTGGTCGGTTGCACATTGATGATAAGTAAACGCACCAGTAACTTGGTGTTATAAAACTTATTGTTGTGTGTGATTCGACTAGTAGGTGCAAGCAAGCATTTGAGTCAAAGTTTATCCATTCCTTTTACCCAATGTGGGATAAAAGCGATATCTGTGGGCCCCTCGATGATTTAGTGATGACAAAGGAAAGTGCTCGGCCGGGCCAGGACTGATTTGATTTGTTCAATTAGTCAGTCGTCATAAATCGGAAATCGGGAAACGACACATAGACTGAGTGAATGATTTCAATCCATGTTTCATGTCTATACGATATCTTGTAGAATGGAGGAATATATAATCCCTTATCTAAAGGACACGCGTATCTGATAAGATCAGAGTTGACAACGGCTTTTGAAAGCTACGATTGCTGATCAGGTTCTGAAGTTATACAAAATAGTTATTAGACTTATCCAAGTGGGAGACTGTTGGATTAGTGTCTAAGTCCATAACTATTTTGGTATGTACTTGACCCGATTATGAGCATGGTCCTTTTGGGTTGCCTTCACCATAGCAATATGTAGGATGAATTAAGGAGAGAGAAAAGTTTAATTATGATTTATTAATATATTATAAGAATGATATATTAAAGGAGAAATCATATTGTTTAATTAATATTAGTCTAGAATTAATTAAGAATTAATTTTGTGACTAAAAGAGATTAATTAAATTAAGGGGACTGATATTGTAATTATAAGATAGTTACAAAGTTGGGCTTAGGATCCATTAGATGGCAATGGACGAATTCTATATGGAGGACCATAAAGAAATCGTCCAAGGGCCTTCTGGAATGGTCCATTGGATTGCTTAGGGCTTAAGCAGTCAGATTAGGGTTTCCTAGTTGCAAACCCTAATAGCTTACATGTATATATAGGACCCCTATGTCCCAAAAACGTGGCTAAGAGTTCCTTTAGGGTTTCCAGCCGTTTTTGGTGCCTCCTCTCTCCTCCCTCTTCATCCAAGTTGCTTAGTGGTGTTTGTGACTCCATTAGAGGTGCAACACTTGAGGCACTAAGCTTTCTGAAGCCAATCAAAGCAAGGATTGATTGTTATTGCTATATAACAATCAAAGGTAATTACTAAACCCTTATTTCAGTTCTTATTTGATAGATCTAGGGTTTGTAAGTCTTGGATTTATTGCATGTACAATAGAGAAACCTAGATCCAAGCATTAGGGTTTGTATGAGCACATATGATTGTTCTTATGCTTAAAACCCATCAGGTCTTTCATGCAAAACCAAAAAGATAATTAGCATAAACCGACACGAGACAGATCCCTAGTCTACTAAACCCCACCATGTGTTTGGTCCGTTTTTTGAACCCCAAGACCTTCATCAAACAGGAACAGGCAGAGAGGCCCTCAAAACAACTCTCGACATGAGCCTAATCACTAACTTTATCCTACGTTGCCACCGATACTTATAATCTATCGGACAAGATAACCCCGACTCATTGGCATCTTCTTCCTTGGTCACAAACTGACTACCGAACTACATTCCTTACACAATCTTCATCCTTGACAACAATCCCAATCTGTTACCCTCTATCTTTGAATAAACTTCAGGATGACATGTAGCTTGCAAACTTTCCTTCTGATAAAGTAACTCTCCCCCACTTGGAATTAACTAGACTCCGATATCTTCTTGATCACCCAGGGCTCCGGATTAGCTCATACGACAATAATGTCTGGTTCCTAATAGCCAACCCTAGCGCTCAAGAGCTTAAAAGGAATTCCATTCATGATCAATTATTCAAATACATAACCATAGTTAAATTTACAACAAATAACATCCATCATATCATTGAGGGGTACAATTAAACAGGGAAATATAAATGGAAAAGCATCGATGACACCAGTGAATGTTGCACCCGCCCATACCGAAGAAACTGATAACTCAAACCCTATCCTTTGGGACTCCAGCTATCCCATATTGTCCATCCGGTAACTGCCAAGCTTTCCAAGGAACACTTGAAGATCAAAAGTTGAGTATTTTAGATAGTACTCAAAGGTATGTGTTTTAATCATTGTGATTTTTGATAATACATAGATTATATTTGTTTTTCATAGTATGTTGCTATAATAAGAAATTACCATAGATCTCTAGGTTGCATGTGCCCATAAAATAGTTTTATGATTCCGTTACGTAAATCTTTTGTTTTGTAACTTAGAAAACCATCAATTTCTTCAATACTTGTTTATTTCTGGACACGGTTATGTTCCTTCTTTGATTATAATCTTGGATGTTACATCATATTGTAATCTTTAACTTTGATGAACATGACTATGTTCAGCCTTTAAATAATATTGATACTTCGTAATTCTTACGTTGGATGAATATGAACATGTTCAACCTTTAATTAATGCATATATACCGTAAACTTGGGATGATCCAAAATTAGAGAGAGAGAGAGAGAGAGAGAGTTTTTATATTTATTAAGATATTAAAAAAAATTATTAAAATGAAAAAATTCCAAAATAAAAAGGAATACTAGTTTTTTTTTTTTTTTTAAAAAAAAAAATTATCATGACCTAAATCCATAAAAATAATCTAATTTTAGATCAATGGCACAAATTAAAAAAAAAAAATTAAACTATATTTATAACTTTTTACAAACCATAAAAACCAAATTTACAAATTTAAACCTCAACCCAACCTATTTAAATAAATGATTAAAATACTCAATCCGTTTAAATAGACTGAATTATTAGTGTGGTTCGGGTTGGATCGACAAGCGCGGGTTAAAATTGACAGCCCTGTACTGCTGTACCACAAAACCCCTATAAAACATAAACCACAAAACGCAAGCAACTTTTGCTTTCTGAGCCACTGTTTGACGAGTGAGTGGTGACCAAGAACAGGAAAAACAAGGACATCTTTCTATACACAATCTACGGGGATTCTTAATGTTTCAAGATTTGGTATGTTTTACAATTCTCCGATGAACACGGCTACCGATTTCTTGTTAAATCCAGTTTTCTTACATGGATGTGTTGCCTCCATACAATTTCTGTTCATGCTTTTCATATTAATCTCTTGGGATTGGAAACGATTCAGGATTGATAGAAGTCAAACTGTGGTTGCAAAACGGAGTTTTGGGTATTTGTGTTTCAAACAAACTCTGTTTTGTTCTCTTGTTCTATCACTCTTCAACCTAGTTTTGTGTTTCTTGAACAATTTTTATTGGTATAGAAATGGATGGACTTATGAAAAGATTGTCACCCTTTTGCATGCTGCTCTTGGAGCACTTATCTGGTTATTCGTTTCTGTGTATTTGCACACACTCGTCTCGAATTCGTCGACACAATCTTCAAAGTACCCATTTGTCTTACGGATTTGGTGGGTGTTTTTCTTTACTGTTTCTTGTTATTCCCTTGTGGTAGATTATGTTCACTACAAAAGAACCCAGAATTTACCTTCCATGTTCTTTGTGTCCGATTCCGTGTCCAGTCTCCTGGGTTTGTTTCTCTGTTTTATGGGGTTGTCCCACAAGAGCCAAGAAGAAGATCAAAATCACAATCTTGAAGAACCCCTTTTGAATTCTAGTAGCGATAGAGTTAGGGGTGAGATTCCATCAACTTACCAAAACGCAAGCTTCTTTAGCCTGCTGACATTTTCTTGGATGAGTTCCATAATCTCAAAAGGGAATAAAAAACCATTAGACCTTGAAGATGTTCCACAGCTAGCAGATATGGATAGTGTGAAACAAGTCTTTCCTATTTTGTTAGAAAAAGTACGGTTGTTAAGCAATGGGAATAACCAAATCACTACATTCGGTCTCACAAAAGCTTTATTTTACATCGTATGGAAAGAAGTTGTTATCACTGGATTCCTTGCTTTAGCATCTTCTTTGTTGAGTTTTGTGGGTCCTTACCTCATAGACACATTCGTTCGATACCTTAACGGACAAAAAGATTACAAATACCAAGGTTTTATTTTGGTGGCTACATTTTTCGTTTCAAAAGTGGTGGGGTGTTTCACACAAAGACACTGGTGGTTCAAGCTCCAACAAGCAGGGATTCGCGCCAGGTCAGCCCTAGTTGCCATGATATACCAAAAGGGTTTGACCATTTCCGGTCAGTCAAAGCAGGGGAACTCGAGTGGTGAAATGATCAACTTGATGGCGGTTGATGCCGAAAGAGTAGCTTTTTACGCTTGGCATATGCATGATTTTTGGTTACTTCTCGTGCAAGTTGGTGTTGCCTTAGCACTTTTATATAAAAATTTAGGACTTGCAGCCATTGCTTCATTAGTTGCCACAATTTTCGTTTTGTTAGCAAATCTTCCACTAGGCAATATACAAGAAAAGATTCAAGATGACTTGATGAAATCTAAAGATAAACGGATGAAAGCAACATCTGAAATCTTGAGAAACGTGAGGATTCTTAAACTTCAAGGTTGGGAGATGAAGTTTCTGTCAAAAATCATCAAACTTCGCGATGAAGAAGAAAACGCGTTAAAGAAATACATGTACACTTTATCCTTCACTTCTTTCATATTCTGGGGTGCTCCGATTGTTGTAGCGGTTGTCACTTTTGCCACATGTCTATTTTTTGGCATTCCACTTGAATCAGGGAAGGTACTTTCTGCATTAGCAACTTTTCAAATACTTCAAGAACCTATTTACAATATTCCAGACTCGATCTCAGCGTTTTTCCAAACTAAAGTCTCACTTAACCGCATTGCCACATACCTGCGCCTCACAGACATAGATTCCAACGCGATAGATAAGGTGCCACCTGGCAGTTCTGACGTGGCAGTTGAGATAATCAATGGAAACTTCGCATGGGATGCAAATGCTTCCTCTTTTAATCTGACACTGAAAGATATAAACATTAGAGTGAATCATGGCATGAGAGTTGCTGTTTGTGGAACTGTTGGCTCAGGGAAATCAAGCTTACTTTCTTGTATTTTGGGAGAGGTGTCGAAGATATCAGGAAGTGTGAAAGTTGAAGGGACAAAGGCGTATGTGGCTCAATCACCATGGATACAGAGTGGAAAGATTGAAGATAATATTTTGTTTGGTAGGGAGATGGATAGAGTGAGGTATGATAAGGTTCTTGAAGCGTGTTCTTTGAAGAAAGATCTTGAAATCTTGTCTTTTGGTGATCAAACGGTTATTGGTGAGAGAGGGATTAATTTGAGCGGGGGTCAGAAGCAGAGGACACAGATTGCACGGGCTCTTTATCAAGATGCGGATATATATCTTTTTGATGACCCGTTCAGCGCGGTTGATGCTCATACCGGCAGTCATCTTTTCAAGGTAAGCAACTTTTTTGGCTGTTTTGTTATATAATATAAACAATAGAATAGTAACAAGTGTTGATGTCCTGTATCAATATACATGGTGGTATCTGACTATATATATATATATATATATATATATATATGTTGGAGTATACACTCTCTCTCTTTAAAGGCTCTTTATATGGAGAGAAAATCAGTGACTGCACATATCTAATCAACATGGAAAGGTGGAGAGTTTGAAATTGAGATTACTTGTCACTTATATACTCGTGGATGTTTCTTTTTTAGTTAATAGGATTAATGGATTAAGTAGATAGTTTGGACAACCTTTGTTTAGAAAGGCAGCGTTTAGCAGTGCCTAGAGCGCTAAGGCCGGAGGGTGTACCACAGGGAAGGTGTGCGGGAACTCCTCACTGCACTCTCTTTCCTCTCTTGATTGGCTGGAGCCATTTAAATGTAATTTTCATTTCTTTTTTTCATTTTTTATTAAATTATATATATACTTAAAAATTATTAAAAAAAAAGATATTAAACTTTATGGTTTTTAATTCCCTACAAATAGAGTATAATATTTGTATAAAATATATTTTAAAAATAAAAAATAAAAAAATGAAAGGAAGTGAAAGGTGACATTTTCCTGGGTTTTGAAAAGTGAAAGGAGAGTGACGGGAAAGATGACGTGACACAAAAAAAGTGAGAGGTGAAACCGTGAAAGGTGAGTGCACCTTGTGTGGTCTTAGAGGTTCGAAGGACGAAGAGTTGGTATGTCACTTCTTGTGTGGTCTTGAGCCTTTGAAGCATAATCATCAATTATCGGAGACATCAAAGTAAGGTATGTTTCATTCTACCTTTCAAATTCTACTCTCCTATCATGTATGTATATGTACGATCCTTGATCCTTCATTCATGTATGCATGGTCTATTATCATTTTATGGCTTATTGGCTTTACTTCTGTAGTTTGCTTGATATGACAGTTGGTAATTGTATGTGTATATGAACTGTAATATATGATACTTGTATGGTTGGATGTATTTATATGTAAACTATATTTTTGTGTATATTTTTTAATTTGAGTTTATGATCAGTGCTTAGTTGATAATGGACCAATCAAGTAATAGTTGTAACCTTAGTCTTCTATTATTTATTAGTTTATTAAAAATTGACTACTCTAATCTCATCTTATTTATAAACTTTGTAGGAAAGTCATTGGAAGATAAAAGACCATATCTCTATTGGACACCATGTACTGTACATTGCCTGTACATTGCCTGGATCTAGTGGTCATAGGATATTGGCATATAGACTCCTAGGTGAAATGCATTAAAGAAGACAAATTTCACAACATATTTCTGATCAAATCATCCAGTTTGAGGAATATGTGTAATCGACTTATAACTTGGTTATAGAAATCGTGAATACACATGGGCTATGAAAAGATAACACTAGCAGATAGGTGACATTTATCCCATTAGGTTATACAAGTGACATGCAAGTGCTTTCATAAGAGGTGTTTTTAATGTGTATATGAACATCAATAAGAGGTGTTTTAATGTTTTTATAGTTATAGTTTAAAAAAAACTGATATCATGGTTATATGCATCCGATAAGCTGTGATATACTTTTATTAAAATCACATTTTCGCAATGTTCCTTTATAAAATCCATATTTATATAATTGATGTGATCAAATTTTAAAATTAATATCTATTATTAAGTTTTGACGTTTGAGTGCGAAAGAATATTTATAAACCATTTAATAAAGTTTTCTTTTATAATACAAGGTTTGAGTTTGACAAGTCTCAAAATCTCAATTTTCAACTTATAAAATTTTAGTCATTGTAATTTGTCGTTAACTAATTCATTTAATTTTTAAAATCTTTTTACCATCTTATGTTAAATAATAAATTTCATTAAAACCAAATTCATTGCGATCATTTTATGTTTAAAATATTATCTAGCATTTTAAAATTTAATTTTACAAACATGCATAATATAACATAAAATAAGCATCACAAAGCATAAAACATATGAGCATAAACCATCATAAACTAGTGGCATTTTGTGAGCCATCACAAAAATACCAAGTCCATTTTCAAGAAACATAAAGGTAGCAAATTTTCTTATGATGTTTTTATGCTACCATTTGCTTCAAATAATTTTATAAAGTTTATAAAACTTTCATAAAATTAAGTGCATGAACTTTTGATCTTCAAAATGGCCGTAATTTCATTCTTGTTACATTTTTTTAGAAATAAACTATTGTAACTAATCTGTTACTTACAAAAATATACAAAATGAAAACTATCTACTTAATTATTACATATCATATGTTGGATCAGGTCCCACTCTTCTCACTAATACAACACAAATATAGAGATATACACAAAGCAATTAGGGAGAATGGAAGTGATTTAGACTCAAAAAAACTGCACACTTTCATTCATGCGTAGATGGATATATTTATAGCTAAACAACAAACAGAAAAAGCTAAAAACTTGCAGCTGCATGTGTTCCTATGAAAGTGGAACTAAGCCACGTTATTCTCCTTCCAGTTAGTCAATATATGACCAAATCAACTACCAAGTAAATCTGCTAAGGTACTAACACGTGATCCATTAACATAACATAATCAACTCATCAAGATTACCCCAACATTCACCCCCTTAATCTTGATGCTCGTGACCTTGCTTTTCATGCTATAGTCTTGCTTAGACTTCTTGCTGTCTCATGCCTCTTGCTTCTTGCATTTTGTTTCATGTTTGCTACTTGCTACAAACCCGAAACTTTCTACTTGCTATGATTGTCTTGCCTGCTACTTGCTACAGACTATGTGACAACCTTCTTGCTTGCTACACTTTCTTGCTTCTTGCTACTTGCTTTCTTTTCTTCTTTCTTCCTGCTTCTTGCTTTCTTACTTACTATATCTTGCTGCTTGTGTTTGCTTCTACTGTTTCTTTCTTCTGATCATCAAACATGATCAGCCTTCCTACTTGCCTTCATTCTTTATTTTGATCATCAAATGTGATCACACTTGCTGCTTCGACCTGCTTGCTTGTTTTCTTCCTCAACAGTCGTCTTCTGCTATCTCTAGGATCGAACAACCACAACCGGACTTTCATCTGTCAACACCATTGTGAGCCATTAACACCACAACAGAAACCAGAACACACCACAGCCGAGAACCACCCTGGTTTGATCCTCCTTTCTATGTTTCTTTCCTTCTCCAGAAAGCAACAAATCTTTCTTCTTTCTTTCTTTCTTTCTTTCTTTCTTTCTAATTCTTCTTTCTAATTTGCTGTTGTGCAGCGGTCTTAATTTCTTATTTCTACTATGAACCAGGTATGAACCTGGTGCTCTTGCTCACAAGCCACAACTTCTTTTGACTCCCCCTGCGATACTTCTTCTCCTGCGATATTCTTTCCACCGATCATTCTTGCTAAAGTCTCATTCGGGTCTTGCTGTCATCCTTTGAATCTTGTTGCCTCTTGCTTCGATTTCTGCTATCTTTCTTGCTTCTTTTCTTTCTTTCTTGATCAAAAGTATTTGCTTGCTGCATGCTTCTTTCTGCCAATCACACCTTGATAAGCCTTTTTACTTGCTTTCTGCTTATCTCAAACTTGCTGCTTTCATTAACATGAAATTACCCCACCGTCCTCTTCTTTCTTTCTCAGCCCTGTAGCCAAGGGCTGCTCCTCCTCTCTCGCCAGTCGCCACCGACTCTCAAACCTGATTCTTCTAAACGAGCCCTAGGCTCTGATACCAATTGTTGGATCAGGTCCCACTCTTCTCACTAACACAACACAAATATAGAGATATACACAAAGCAATTAGGGAGAATGGAAGTGATTTAGACTCAAAAAAACTGCACACTTTCATTCATGCGTAGATGGATATATTTATAGCTAAACAACAAACAGAAAAAGCTAAAAACTTGCAGCTGCATGTGTTCCTATGAAAGTGGAACTAAGCCACGTTATTCTCCTTCCAGTTAGTCAATATATGACCAAATCAACTACCAAGTAAATCTGCTAAGGTACTAACACGTGACCCATTAACATAACATAATCAACTCATCAAGATTACCCCAACATCATATGAGTAGATAAATATTACAACCGTTTTAACAAATCAACACAAATAACATCACAAATGGTCCTTCTTTTCCCCCTCCAACTCCTCTCACATTTAAACTCATGAACAGATTTAAAAATTTGATGAATATTGGGGAACTTGTTTTTTTTGGAATGTAAGGGTAAAATTGTCATTTAGTCTCCATACTAGAAAAGACATGAACCTTATATATACACAACATTTTATCATATAGACAACATTACCCTTTCATCTACATTACTCATAAAAGACTTAATGGTAGAAAAAGCCCCTCACATCCCTTAATTAGCACTAACATTTTTGCCAAATATAGTCCTCTCCAAACAAGCTGAATGTCAGATTCCCATCAAAAACACATAATTGTTTTGCACAGATTGATGCATCAGCTAATATAACCACATACATGAGAGTGATTTACATCATTTTAAGGTGAATTTCTTCTTTCCCAACGATAGGAATGCATGTTGCAATTTCTAGACTCGAAGACAGTGATTTACATTACACATCAAGTCGAGTTCTTACCAGCTGCAGATCTCATCTTTGTGAGCTATCTAACTCTTTTGTTTTCCATTTCATTGTACATATGAACACGCATCTCATTTGGTATAACATCACACTCAGGTTTTGAAAGATGGAAGAATTACACAAGCCGGAAAGTACAATGACATTCTCAATTCAGGAAGCGACTTTATGGACCTTGTAGGTGCACACAAAGAAGCATTATCAGCAATCGATTCCATGGAGACAAATGATCAAGAAGGAACCACGAGTTCCAAGAAAAACACAAACGATACTCAAAATGGTAAAACAGATGATATTTCAGGTTCAAAAGCGCAGCTTGTTCAAGAAGAAGAACGAGAAAAAGGGAAAGTAGGTTTTTCAGTCTACTGGAAATACATAAACACGGCTTATGGAGGGACACTTGCACCATTTATAGTATTGGCAGAAATTTTGTTCCAGATACTACAAATTGGAAGCAGTTACTGGATGACTTGGGGATCTCCGGTTTCCGAAAGTGATCCAGCCCCTGTTACTGGATCAACCCTAATCATGGTTTATGTAGTTTTATCAGTTGGATGCGCTTTGTGCATACTTGCAAGAGGCTTGCTTCTTGCAACTTTTGCGTATAAAGCAGCCACTCTTGTCTTCCACAAAATGCACTTGTCCATATTCCGTTCACCCATGTCGTTCTTTGACTCTACTCCAAGTGGACGAATACTAAATAGAGTAAGCGAGCATCTTCTCTTCACACGCCTAATTATTAATCAATAAAAATGCCCCTACATGCTTCCCGTAGAAGTAAAGATCCATAAGTGAGGTCTCAGGTTCAAGTCTGAGCATTTTCCTTTTTTTTTTTAAAGAATAATGTTCAATAAACATAGATTTTTTTTTATAGGCATCTACAGACCAAAGTGCGGTGGACATGGACATCCCTAACCAACTTGGAATCTTTGTATTCACAATCATTCAACTTCTTGGCATCATTGCGGTAATGTCACAGGCTGCTTGGCAGGTGATCTTTATATTTGTGCCTGTGGGCATAATGTGCATCTGGTTAAAGCAATATTACTTGCCTTCAGCAAGAGAAATGTCACGGCTATTTGGAGTTTGTAAAGGCCCCTTGATACAAAACTTTGCTGAAACAATATCAGGATCAACTACAATCAGAAGCTTTGATCAACAAGGAAGATTTCAAGACACGAATCTGAAACTGAATGATGATTTTGCAAGGCCAAAGTTTCATGCTATTGCTGCCAGGGAATGGTTAGGCATACGTTTGGACATGCTGTCTTCTTTCACGTTTGCTGTGTTTTTAATTTTCTTGATTTCTATCCCGGAAGGAACTATTGATCCAAGTAAGTCGATCTTTCATGTCACATATTGCATCAATTGGTAACGCAAAATACATGTTGATGGTACTTTTTGCTTATTTATTTCTCAAGGTATTGCGGGATTGGCTGCTATTTATGGTCTTACATTGAACACATTGCAAGGATTGGTTTTATGGACTCTTACCAACCTTGAAAACAAAATTATTTCAGTTGAAAGAATATTTCAGTATTCTTCTATACCTAGTGAACCTCCTCTTGTTATAGAATCAAATAGGCCTGATGATCAGTGGCCTTCACAGGGAGAAGTTGATATCCGTCATCTGCAGGTATTTAATTAAATAAATAAATGTTTATTACAGTTGTGTAATATGTTCAAAATATTGAATCTAATGATTTCTTTTAAAAGGTTCGATATGCACCACATATGCCACTTGTGTTGCGAGGTCTTACGTGCACTTTCAAGGGAGAAATGAAGACTGGGATTGTAGGAAGAACAGGTAGTGGGAAGTCAACTCTGATACAAACACTCTTCCGCCTCGTGGACCCCGCAGCTGGAGAGATTCTCATAGATGGAATTAACATATCAACAATCGGACTTCATGATCTTCGTTCAAGATTGAGCATAATTCCTCAAGATCCTACCATGTTTGAAGGAACTATTCGAAGCAACCTGGATCCCCTTGAAGAGTATACAGATGATAAGATTTGGGAGGTAAATATTACAAAAATTATGGAATTCAATGATTTTAAAAAATATATAATGCTATAATACAACAATACTTGTTACTTCAGGCTCTCGATAAGTGTCAGCTTGGAGATGAAGTGAGGAGCAAGATAGGGAAGCTTGGCTCACCAGGTCTTGTTCATAGTCTTCACATCAGGGTGTTTTCATCATATAAAGTCAAAATAAAAGATAAAACATATTTTCAGGGGTGTCTTGATTATGTATAATTTTGATATAACAGGAGTTACTAAGCATAGAAACACAATCTTCCCGTTATTTATTAGTTTTTGTTAGTCTCCCACATCAGCAGACACGTTCCAATCCTTTTTCGAGAGAAAATCTATGACTCAACATATCTAACAATTTTCATAAAACTTGATATAGTTACTGAGAATGGAGAGAACTGGAGTGTGGGTCAAAGGCAGCTGGTGTGTCTAGGGCGTGTGCTACTCAAGAAAACAAAAGTCTTGGTTCTTGATGAGGCTACTGCTTCAGTTGACACAGCAACTGATGGAATGATTCAGCAAACACTTGCACAACACTTTACAGACTCCACAGTGATAATGATTGCTCATCGTATCACCTCTGTGCTCAATAGCGACATGGTTTTGGTTCTAGAACAAGGTTTGATTGACAAATTTGTTGGCTCTGTGTCTTTGGAGTTAATGTCTTAATAGTCTATGTGCTTTTTGTTTTGTATATATGCAGGTCTGATTGATGAATATGATTCTCCAACAAAGCTGTTGGAAGATGAATCATCTTCATTTGCAAAGCTCGTTGCTGAGTATAGTATGAGATCGAATTCAAGTTTTGGAAACTTAGCAGCAAGATAATCTGTTGGTATCAAGAGTGGTGCTTGATGATTTCATGATTTGCTTAAATGACCATGGGGACATAGAAAGCTAAGTGATTTTGGTGCACCAGGGTCCCCCTTATGGATGATATTGTAACCTGAAAGTATTGCAACTGTTTATCTACATTTCTGATGTGTGTAAACGTAACTACTTTCTGCTTGTAAGCTGTTAAGATTGTGTAAGAGCACACTTAAAATCGAAGATTATTGTTAAATCAAGTCTTGAGCTGCTGAGCTGATAATTAAAGGCCTTCTCTTTGAGTATCATATATATCATGCCTTTTTAGACTTTTGACATTTAGATTCTTGAACATTCCTGGGAAATTATATGATGATTAATGTGGTTTAATTATGAAAAAAAGAAGGATCAATCAAAGCCCCTTTCTCTCTATTAGATTAATAACTATGCCTCTATATTCCTTTTTTCTTTGTGCAAGGAGTGAGTCGGAATCTCATTGTTTGTTAATCTGTTTGTGCAATGTTGAGTACGCCACATGTTAGATGATTTCATCCCAATCTAGAACATAATTGTATAAATCATAACTTTTTCATGATCTTCAATTGCCTATAGAACCTTCATGATTTACTTTGAACATGATTGTATCCAGCCTCGTATTAAAATACCACTATTTTCATCAAGTAAACACAAAGTGAATTTTTGAAGAAGTCAAGGGTGTTTGGTAAACCTAATGAATTAACTTATCGAACTCGAAATTCTAAATTGATTTATAGTAGTCACTTAGTACACTTTCCAAGTTAGGGATCATATATCTAAACAGTGCATAACTTGCCTTAGAGACGTGAGTGCTTTGTATTTTGGTTTGTTTAATTCTAACTCAACCTTGGGATATTTCCTTCTGTTATTCCAATTGGCATAGGCTTAGTTCTTGAGGCTCCCTTTGATGGTTTAGAAGTGAACTATTTGCAGAAGCATTATTCAGCATCTATAATGTGATTTGTCATCACATTTACTACTATGAACATTATTCCATTCGGTAATTGAGTTCTGCCGATGCACATAATCTGGTTAACATGTAACCTAGGAGTACTTGACACAACCAACACAAGTTCTTATTCACTTAGAAGATAGGAGACTCAAGAACTCTGTTATAAACAAAAGACAAAGGACAACGGAATTGAACACTGGATTTATAGTGGAAACCCAAAATTTCAAAAAAAAAAAAAAAAAAAAAAAAAAAAAAAAAAAAAAAAAAAACACTTTGAAGAACACCATAAATCGATCTCTTTAATTGAAGGTTACAAAACGCTAATGATTCTTATAAAACCGGAAAAAAGAGTTGATCTAAAAATATCATCTAACATCCCTATATATATAAGAGATTAAATGTGACTCCTAGTACAACTCTAAAGCCTAGGAATAAAAATACAAAACAAAAAACGCCTCCCTGGGGAACAAGGAATTTAACAGCACATATACGACTCCTTTTAGTGATGGTTATTGTTTCCAACAGAAAAACGATGCATGTAATGTTTGTTTTTGAAACATATTCAAAAAACGCCACCTTACGATGAAAAAAGTATTCAGCAATGTAACCTTCAATCATAACGAAAAATGAAAAACCGTAGTGTTCAAAAGTCCCTAAGGACTTAATTTAAAATACCAACCAAATCTGAACAAAGTTCAAATTTGGTTGTCGGAGCCGTGTTTATCGAAACCGAAGCTTTGAATGTCACTCTTTGTAACAACGTAAATTTTTCAAAACAATTTTTTATTTTTAAAACATACTTTCAACCACATAACAATCACAAAACATAATGTATCACTGTGTCATAATAAAAACATGTCCCAAGATCTCATAAACATAAATCCTCTCAGTGTGTACGGATCATGCCGGCGCCTTCCCGCGATCCTCGCTAGTACCTGAAACACATTACACAACAACTGTAAGCATAAATGCTTAGTGAGATCCCCAAAATACCACATACCCCACATACGCCTTTCCAGGCCATACTCTATAGGATCTTCCGATCCATGTGTCTTAGGGGACTTCCGTCCCAAGTTCCAGGTAGACCTTCCGGTCCTACCCCTTTCGACCTTCCGGTCCGTAACCTCTTGACCTTCCGGTCCATTCCATACATAACATACATAGCACATACATATCACATAACTGCATATAGCACATACATATCACATAACCGCATATAACACATGCATCTCATAGCATACAAAACCTTCCGGTCACACATAGGTACCCTTCCAGGTACAGTATAGTGAGAAGACTCACCTCAATGAAGTCGGATAACTCTCGTGCTCAATGTCCCGACTTAGCCTCCTCCTATTATTCAAATAACATTCTGATCAATATCCTCTCATGATCTCATCTCTATAACTGGGTAGAAGGCCATTCTACCCTTCCTTGAACTCTCCTGAATCAGTCCTGACCAGAACCCTAAAGTCAACAAAAGTCAACGGTCAACTTTGACCCGACTCGCCGAGTGCACTAGGGTGACTCGGCGAGTACACGCTTGCCCTCTTCGCCCCTGGTCCTCTCTTGACTCACTGAGTCAACCCTGTGCTTCACGGGTCATCACAGATCGCGAGTCGCGGGGCAACCCGACTCAACTCGTCGAGTCCTCTTATGGACTCGGCGAGTTTCCTCCATGAACTTGCTCAAACAACCTCCTGAGGTCAGATCTGCTTAACCAAAACATAGATCTAACCCTTAAGCACTCAAAAGTCACGTAAAGGTGCAACCTTTACGTGCATGCAACCCATATCAAGCCTCCAATGGAGAAATAACACTAGAAATGTCAACCTAGTCTCCAATCCTCCATGAATCAGCATAAAGCAGAGTGGGAAAGGTTCTCTGGACCTCTATGGGTCCAGATCTGATGTCATAATCCCAAAGTGGATCTCATACTCCCTAGATCTTCCATAAAATGAGGGTAAAAACCCTAAAAGCAAGAAATCCATCAATATAACACGAAAGGAGACAGGGTTATACCTCCAAAGATGATACCACAAGATGGTTAGCTCAGATCCAGCCCCTTCACGTTCTAGATGTGTGCTCCTATCTTCCTTCAAGCCAAACCACACAAAAAGATGAAGAAATAGCCTCATTTTGCTCTCAACTCTCTTACTCTCTCTCTCTAGGGTTCCTCTGGGGTGCATTGGCCGCAAATGGAGGCCATAAAGGCCTTTAAATAGGGCTCAGGCCCCGAGGATTAGGGTTTCATTAAACAGCGTGGACTCGCCGAGTCCACGCATGGACTCGCCGAGTCTGCCACTAAACCAGTCCAACCATGACTCGGCGAGTCTAAGCGCCTACTTGCCGAGTCCCTCTCCAACACTCAATATAAATACATAAAATAAGATACCTGGGAATCCGGATGTTACACTCTTTTGGGTTTACAAGGTTGAACCAGCGGAGGAGTCATGGAAAACACAGGTTTAGAAAAATTTGTAATGTTATGGTAGTGCCACGAACATAGTAAAATCCATTAGTCTTCCTCAAATCAGCTTTAATCATAACTCGAGAACCTTCTGTGATCTTCAAAACACTGCCTCCATCTGAAAAACTGTAACCCTTGCCGTCGAATACGCTCAAAGAGATGAGATTTCTCTTCATCGTAGGAATATACCGACCATCGGTTAAAGTTCGAATCATGCCATCGAACATCTTGAAACGGATAGTGCCGACGCCTTCAATTTTACATAAACCATCAAAACCTTGAACCGACTCGACATTGCAAATTAGTTCAAAAGTAGTAAACCAATATTTATGTGAACATATATGATATGTGCAAGCTGAATCAAGAACCCGATTATCATCGACAATTCCGAAGACAACAATAAGGACTTCTCCTTCAGAATCATCGTCACAAGCATAGTTTGCAGAAGCGTCATTAGCCTTTTATTTATTTGAAGCATTCCTCTTTTCTTTATTCTATAACTTATAACACACAGAAATCTCATGGCCATCTTTCTTGCAATACCGACAAGACTTGTCTTTACCTCGAGATTTGGATAAAATATTTTTACCCTGAGAATCCCTTTCACTAGACCGACCCCGAACAGATAATCCTTCACCTTGCGTACTGCTTGACCCATCATTAGAAACCATTTGTTTTGTCTTTTCTTTTGAATACAATGCTTCGTAAACTTCATGTAAAGTAAGGGTGTCATGACTATAAAGAAATCTATATTTCATGTTTGAGTAGGAGCTCGAAAAAGAGCACAAAAGAATCAAACCAAGGTCTTCTTCGTCATATTTAATTTCCAAAGTCGCTAAATCGGACACGATCTCTTTGAAATCAAATATATGGTTAAGTAAATTACTTCCCTCTTGAAGCTTATCTAGAAAAGGATTTTACTTTAAATGCATTTTACTCTTGAGATCTTTTGACATGCATATTGACTCAAGTTTTAACCAAATAGCATCTGCAGTGCAGTTATTTCATTAAGCACTTCATAGAGAATATTATTGTGGAGATGTAACTGAATTTGTGACAAGGATTTTCAATCCTTATTTATCTCATCGGGAGTCCAAGTAGCTTGAGTTTTTCCTCCAAAGGAATCTAATGCATCGTTGTAATTCGATTGAGCTAAAAGGGCTCGCATCTTAACTTGCCAAAGTGAAAATCGAGTGTCACGATCCAAAAGTGGGCAATCGTATTTTACCGTAGCCATTGAGAACAATGAATTATTTTAAAGGCTTAATAAAACAAAATTAAAGTCATTGATATTTGGCTTTAATAAAATCGATCATAGGCTGAAAAAGAAACTTTTAAAAAAGGAACGATTTATATGTGATTTAAAAAATTATTTTAAAGAAAAAACAATAATAAAAGAAAACTTGGTACGGGGCTTAAATAAGAACACGTTTTAAGATGATATATGGGCTTAAGAAGAGAATTGTAGGAGGGTTTAAATAAAATTACGCAATGGTTCAAGGATAAAAGAAACACGTATACCAGGGCTTCAAGAAGGAAAGAATGTCATGGGCAAGAAACAACGTCAAGAAAGAGTCGTCAAAGTGGAAAAACGACGATGAAGAAAAACCTGATCACAAAACCCAGTGATACAACTCATGATCCATCACACCCATCACAGGCCCAACAACCAGAAGTAAACCCAACGTACAACAAGACTACCAAGCCCAAGAAGTGTTAAGAGTTCCTAAACGCTTCAAGGATGGAAGCCTCTCGTAATCACCATTGACAATATCCATTTGACCAAGTCTATTTTCAGTTGAATTCTAACAAAGTAGTAGCAGTAATTTAGGGCCACGTTTTACTTTAGCATGCATGAACTTCCT